CGGTCGTGGGTTCGAGCCCCACGGGGGGCGTATTTTTATAATAAGAATAGGTGGTATAAGAGGAAATAGTATAAAGTATAAAGGTATAAAGGTATAAAGGTATAAAGGTATAAATGGTTATAGGTATAAAAGTATAAAAGTATAAAAGTATAAGAATATAAAGGTATAAAGGGATAAGAATAGTATAAGAGGAATAGAATAGTATAGTATAAAGGGATAAGAATAGCATATAGGTAATAGTATAAAGTAGGTACATCTAATAAGGATATAGGAAGTAAAATACTAAGTAAAATACTAAGGAAGTATAAAAAGATATATACATATATACATGTATAAGTATAATAAATAGAAATAGAAATATAAGAATATATCTACTAAAGAGAAAGAATAAGGGAATAAGGGAATAAAAAAAGAACATAATAATATAATATAATAATATAATAATAAGTGAATAAGATGATAATAATAATAATAGTAGCATAAAGGTTAATAATAATAGTAAAAAAGACGCTTCCGCTTGGGATCGAACCAAGGACCTAACGGTTAACAGCCGTTCGCTCTGCCGACTGAGCCACGGAAGCTTTCAGTAAGCATAAGTTAAGCAGAAGTTAAGCAGAAATGTTAAAGTAGATATGATAAGCAGAAATGATAAAGTAGATATGATAAGCAGAAATGATAAAGTAGAAATAATAAAGTAGATATGATAAAGTAAATATGATAAGCATAAGTTGAATAGGTAATAATAGGATAAAGTTATAAGGAGTAATAAGAAGGGTAATAATAGGATAAACATAATAAGAGGGTACATATATACATATATACATATATAAATATATACATATATAAATATATAAATATATACATAAGTACATATATACATAAAAGAATAAGAAGTACATAAGTACATATATAATATATATATATACATAGAAGAAATAAAAGTAAAAGTAAAAGTAAAAATAAGAATAAGGTATAGTAAAGATAGTCTATATATAATAGGTATAAAATAAGTAATAAGTAATAAGTAATAAGTAATATATAATATATAAAGAAATATAGAAATAAAAAGGAATAAATATAATAAGTCATTACATATATAAAATAAACATAAATAATAAAATAAAATTTAAATAAATATAAAAATATATATAAATATAGTCATAGTCTAGAAGTCAAGAATACTAATAATCTGTGAGCCTTCCTAGCTCAGTCGGTAGAGCGCGCGGCTCTTAACCGCGCGGTCGTGGGTTCGAGCCCCACGGGGGGCGTATTTTTATAATAAGAATAGGTGGTATAAGAGGAAATAGTATAAAGTATAAAGGTATAAAGGTATAAAGGTATAAAGGTATAAATGGTTATAGGTATAAAAGTATAAAAGTATAAAAGTATAAGAATATAAAGGTATAAAGGGATAAGAATAGTATAAGAGGAATAGAATAGTATAGTATAAAGGGATAAGAATAGCATATAGGTAATAGTATAAAGTAGGTACATCTAATAAGGATATAGGAAGTAAAATACTAAGTAAAATACTAAGGAAGTATAAAAAGATATATACATATATACATGTATAAGTATAATAAATAGAAATAGAAATATAAGAATATATCTACTAAAGAGAAAGAATAAGGGAATAAGGGAATAAAAAAAGAACATAATAATATAATATAATAATATAATAATAAGTGAATAAGATGATAATAATAATAATAGTAGCATAAAGGTTAATAATAATAGTAAAAAAGACGCTTCCGCTTGGGATCGAACCAAGGACCTAACGGTTAACAGCCGTTCGCTCTGCCGACTGAGCCACGGAAGCTTTCAGTAAGCATAAGTTAAGCAGAAGTTAAGCAGAAATGTTAAAGTAGATATGATAAGCAGAAATGATAAAGTAGATATGATAAGCAGAAATGATAAAGTAGAAATAATAAAGTAGATATGATAAAGTAAATATGATAAGCATAAGTTGAATAGGTAATAATAGGATAAAGTTATAAGGAGTAATAAGAAGGGTAATAATAGGATAAACATAATAAGAGGGTACATATATACATATATACATATATAAATATATACATATATAAATATATAAATATATACATAAGTACATATATACATAAAAGAATAAGAAGTACATAAGTACATATATAATATATATATATACATAGAAGAAATAAAAAGTAAAAAGTAAAAAGTAAAAAATAAGAATAAGGT